AGAGTGCATCACAGACAGGAGAGTCATCAACTGCAAAGGCTAAGAAGAGAAAGCAGACCGAACAGCAGCCTGATCAGGCCATTCCTACCACCCAGCAAAGTCTGGTGAACCTGCCTATGCATCAGAGAGGTGTTGGTGTCTATACATACCCAAATGGTACATCAGACCTGCTATGGTAAGCTAGCAAAATTTTGAATAATAACAAAGTTTAGTAATTACTGTAGGTTCAAATAATAACAAACTTTTGAATAATTAACCTTTTATTCATAATTTTTGCAGCCAATTCATACAGCACAGACCACTCAAACACAATCCAACCTGGGATCAACTACTACAATAGTTAGCATGTACTAACAAGGTATTTTCCAACATACACCCTAACTTAGTTGTACATATACATTTAACAGTCACCTTAAGCAAAGCTAAGATTACAATCCTATAAATTGAAACATGATTCTTCCTGATTTCTTCCATTTCATGTAGTCTGTCATTGCTTTGTATAAGTTTGATCATTTCTGTTTTCACCTCCCAGTCATAATCATCATCAATCCACTCCCAAAAATCACATCCATTGGGTTTCATGTAATTTTGGCAAGTGTGGAATCTCCTAAAAGGATTCTGGTCGTTCTTGAAATTCTCCTGGTAACCCTTCTTGAACATGATGAGTGTCATTTATGGCACTCATTTGTTCTCTTTTAGGATGATTTTAGATTGCTTTTGTAGCTCTTTCCTTTCCTTTCTCTTTATTTTTGCTATTTATTTCTTCAATTTACTTTTTACTTAGTTGATTTTCCTTCTTCATGCATTTCTTGGTTTATTTTGTTATTTTCTCTTTTATTTGCTTGTTTTCTTTCATTTTTCAGGTTAAGGTCGTTATACAAAGATTCATGAGGCCCCTTCCCAAGTTTGGCATTGATTAGGATGCCCATTGTTCTCCATTTGAAGCTCAAGCATGGAGAAGTGTAAGTTCCCAAAGACCTTAGGTCGTGCATTCAAGCCGTGGGGGCACGATTTCTCGTGTTGAACCCACAAACATGGAGTTTGGAAACTACAAGGTCCCGTGTTTATCAAGAGAATTGAGTGGAATGCACGAGGAGCATCGATATGATGGTGAAGAGGGTTGCCCTGTTCCCAGGCGCGGGCGCGCCTGTCTGGGTCTCTGTTCCGTACCTAAATTTGCGCGGCCGCGCTCCCCCTTATAGTTAGTCGCGCCTGTACGGGTCTATTTTGGACGGTCTAACTAACTTTTCTTTGTTAGTTTTACTATATTTAGATTTTCCCTCTATTCTTGGGGGAGAGTTCATTTTTAGAATTAGAATAGAAGTAGGTCAGATTTTTAGAGAGAGAAACTCTAGTTTGTAGAAAGAGAAGTTCTTGCTGATTGATGATTGAAGATTGATGATTCCAAGTGTTTTCTCCATTGATTTGAAGCAAGTTTGTAAGGATTTCTTTACTTTAATGCAATCTTAGTTTTGATTTCAATTTCTTTGTTAATTGTTCAAGTTGATTGATTTTTGAATTGATTTTATCTTGATTAATATGATGATGATGAATTTGTTGTTTAGCTTAGTTTTGATATTGATTTCCATGAATTGTGAGTAGTTTTCTTGCTAGGGGAATGGTGAAGCATATATGAGTAATGGATTTATGCTAATTGGGGGAAATTGATGGAGTTGATGTTGTGATTAAATTGGTTGATTGATTATGTGCATGTGTGTGTTTAATTTAGGAGTGATCAACCTAGTTACTCGCACTAGATTGCATTGTAATCTCACATTGATACGGAAAATTAATTTGTATCTTGCATTTGTCTATTGAGTAGGTTTACAAGGTTCCTAGCTAGAGTCTCTCGTAGTTGGCGCTAGTTTGACCTCTAGGAGATTAGCCTACCATACTCTCTTGATTGCTTAATTGATTTTCCCTCGCAACACTCGACTTAGTTATCTCCAATCCCAATTAGTTTAATTCATTCCGAGTTTATGTGGATTCTAACCCTAGTGCTTGATAAATTTGATTCCATTTCGATTGTTTGATTGTTTAGAATAGACACGCCTTACTTCATTACTTCGAGATAGCTTAGCTTTAGCATTAGCATTCACCTCCCATTCCTAGTGGTTCGACCCACGAATTACTCCTATACAAGGTATAAGGGTGTGTTGAGATATTACAAATTTTGTTTGACCGAGGGTAGATTAGTTTTCAACGACCTAGTCTCCACCCTTATTCTGAACATCTGCAGAAATTTGTGACACCATCCATATTTCTGTTTTTGCCAGAGATTGTAGAAGAAAAATGAACGTGAAGGAATCAAGGCTTGTTGCTTATGGACTGAAGCCTTGCTGCTGCTGCTTTTTTTTTTTTTTTTTTTAATTAAAATGGCTAGTTGTAGCAGCAATCATTTTTGGGGAATTATTTTGCTGTTGAAAATTTGGATAATATCCTTTTATTTTGGATATTGTTGATTTTATTTATGAAGGAACTTACTTATTTTGTGTTAATTCCAATGAGGGGACTGACTTTTTTTGGAAAGTTATGAAATAAGGGACTAACTTTTGCTCAGGTAAGTTAAAGTTGGGTTAAATGACCGGAAAACTAACTAGAGGTCCCAAAAGGTGGAAAAAAAAGTGGGAGGTCCCAAAAGGTGAAAAAATGAAAATATTATACTTAACTCCATACAAACTCAATCTATTTGGTGATGTTTTATAGTTTTTTTTTTTTTTTTTTGAAAGAATGTTTTATACTGTAGTTTTTAGTATACACTAGTTTTGTGCCCGATGCGATGCCAGAATTGGTTATTACATTTTGAGATTTTAATCAATTTTCAAAATATATCTCTAAATCTCTAATACAAAATTAGTTAGAAATTGATGTGCTTTAGTGACGATTTAAACTATGTAGTAGTAAGCATATAAATGACTAATAATAATATTGGTAATTTTTTTAAAGTTATAATCTAATTATTTTTTGAATAAAATTATAATTCAATTTATACATATGAAATATTGGTATTTTATCGAAAATAAAACTCTCAACTAACAATTTTGTCCTAAAATTCTATCCAAATTTGATTGAAAATAGAATTTTAAACTAATTTATTTAGCCTTTTAAATCTATCTAAATATATCCAACGTGGCAAGACACTTAGCGAAAAGTTAGAACGCCAAGTGTCGCAATGTCGTAGACTGGTTAAAAGTTTAACTTTATATATTAGTTACTAGTTTTGTACTTTTGTGCCCCGTGCGATGCCCGGGTTGTTTATGGAATTTTAAGATAAAATTATATTATAATTCAATTTAATTGATTGAAAATAGAATTCTAAATTATCTTTTTTTTTCTACAAAGTCTATCATATATTTATCCAACGTGGTACAACACTTAGCGAAAAGTTAAAATACTATACGATGTTGTCTTGTGACCTAATTATAAGTTTATTATTTGGTATTTTATCGAAAATAAAACTCTAAACTAACCCTCTTATTCTAAAATTGTATCTAATTTGATTGAAAAAAGAATTTTTAACTAACTTTTTATTTTATGAATCTATTTAAATCTATCGAAGGTGGCGCGACACTTGGCGAAAAGTTAGAATGTCAAGTGTCACTATTTCGTCACCTGGCTAAAAGTTTAGCTTTATATATTAGTTATATGATTTTATTTTATGAATCTATTTAAATCTATCCAAGGTGGCACGACACTTGGCGAAAAGTTAGAATGTCAAGTAGGAATGGCAACGGGTCTGATTGGGGTCGGATGTGGCTAAATCTGAATCCGATCCGTTTAGTAAACGGACCCTGGACTCGGATCCAAATCCGAGGCCGAATCCGAAAAATCCGAGTCGTAATTTTCGGATCCGAATCCGGTCCGTTTATTCGGACCTCCGAAATGTTCCGAATATTTTTTTTTTTTTTTGTAATGTCATGCATATACCTATAATTGCTTGTATTGTCATACCAATTAAAATATAAACATAACATATTTAAATTATAAACTAAGTTACATAACAAAATTTTGCTACAAAACAAGCAAATAATTATCCCAAGTTATAGAGCATATGCTTATACTTTTGGATTCGGACTCGGATCGGACTCCGTCGGACTTTGCGTAGGGTCCAAGTCCGATCCACCTCCTATTCGGATTCGGATCTATTTTATCGGATTCAGATTCGGACTAATATTAAACGGATTCGAATCGGATTTTTTCCTTCGGATCGGATCATATTCGAATCGAACTCGGATTAAATTGTCATCCCTAATGTCAAGTGTCACTATTTCGTCACCTGGCTAAAAGTTTAGCTTTATATATTAGTTATATGATATGATATTTTATCTATTATTAAGAGTCTCTTTTTCAACTTTTATCCAAAACATTCCAAACTCTATTCCTCAACTTTTGTTAACTTAACTTAAAAAAAAAAAAAAAAAAAAAAAAAAAAAAAAAAAAAAAAAAACCTATCAATTTCCATGGTAACTTCCTATCTTAAAACTTCCATTAAACAAATTCAATAACTTCCATAATCGTACTTGCAAAAATAATAAAACTCCGTAATACTGTAGTAATAAAAAAAATAAAAAATAACTAAAAAAAAAAAATCAATAGTATGGAACAATTGTTTTACATCCTAGGTATTTGCGTAGAACGCCTCTTGCACATTACTTATATGGTAGTCTAAGTGCCATCTAAGCAGTGTTGTAACTAGTATCATTATATAAGTTCAACCAGTTTTTTTCTAGAGTTTTGCTCCTTTATTTATAATTACAATTCATCAAAGCATTGTTCAAAACTATTTTTGATATTACAAATTGTCAATTTCAACATTCAAATTTAGGCAATGCATAAAAAGGCTTAAATTTAGATGGACAGCAATAATAATGGTCAAACAAAAGCTGATCTAAAACATGCTTACCAACAATGTGTTGTTTTAACTAAATTTAGCTGAATATAGCAAAATTCTAGAGTCGTTTATATAAAGAAATCATAGTACAAGAAAAATAAATAGCAAATGAAGCTATTTCAACCATCCTTGCCTCATTTACGGGTAAAAAAAATCGTATGCCATCAACAATGAAGTCATCTCTTCTAGGCAACATTTTGGCCGTGTTATTTCTTGTGGTGTTTGTCTCTAATGTTCATGCCAAGAGGCCAAACTTCCGGCCTGGTCCGTGGAGAATCGGTAGGGCTACCTTTTACGGTGGCCCAGATGGTTCAGGAACTTATGGTAATTACTCCTTCATATTATTACTCCATCCATCTCTAAAAGTTTTTCTATTTGGACAATAATTGTTTCACAATAAACCAAAGCATAAAGAACTTATAGAAACCGGAGTATTATTTAGTCATGTCGCTATTATTGTTATTATTAATAAATTACATAGCTAGATTCCATTGAGTACATATGCATATATGTGTTCATAGATTACGCATGCATGGTGAATTTAAATAGCAATGTGAGAAATGATGAACCTTTTCCTAAGAAAATTTATGTGCCGCTTGACACTCCTTTCTCTTTGAAATGGTAAATGAGAGTTGAGCACAATTTAGTATGAAATTATTTTTAATATTTCAAAATAAAAGATTATAGAGCTTTATATACTCTATATACTACCTCCGATACATATTATTTGCAACGATTTGACATAAAGTAGAGAGGAAAAATGTCTAATCGTTGCAAATAATATGTAACGGAGGTAGTATTAAAGCTACGATTCTTAATAATCAGAGGTGGTTTTAAGCATGTGCAGGACAGTTGATCACACAAGGCCCTAAAGCGAAATTACTTACAAAAAAAAAAAAAAGGGTTCCATTTTTTGAAATTTACTTATATACAAAATAAAGAGAAAACTTGTTAAAATCTGTAATCTATTCTTCAATTTTGTCCTAAAATTTATATTTTAATTTAGTATTACCTTGAATTTTTATTAGTCGCAACTTTTGGGTATTATTTGTGAGATATAAAATATTCCAAAGTAGAAACTAATAAAAATCGAAGGTAGTATAATATTTTTCCTTACACAAAAGATTTTAAGGCCTAATTTAACAAAATTGCACAGGGTCATTTTTCAGTGTTAGCATTTGTAGCCCTGCTTGTAATTATATAGTTGAGCATCTTACCACCAAGCAATGTTACCTTTTGATACAAAATATTAACATCTATAACAAATTTATTTACAAGAAAAAATGTAATAACCCAGGCCATCACCCAAGCCCAAATACTAGGTTTTTTTCAAAAGAAACATAACTCACAAATGAGTTGACATTATTTGTCTCACCTTAAATAAATAAGAAAAAAAAAATATCACACTACTACTCCCATTATAAATTGGTTTTAGGAACAATCATATTGGACTTGTATGTGGTCAAACTCTCCTCCAATACGAATTTATAATTTATATACGGCCCAACAAGATCTATCAGTTTTACTTAAAAGTTCAATTCCATGGGTGAACGCATTTGCATAGAGTACATGAAAGTGCACAAAGTTGATTAATGTTGATTTGAATGTAAACAGAGGGAGCATGTGGATATGGGGATATATCAACCAAAGAAGGCAAAGGGGGGTTTGGGGTGCAAACTGCAGCTATAAGCACAGCATTGTTCAACAATGGAGCAGCTTGTGGCTCTTGTTATGAGCTCAGTTGTGAAGAGCCTGCAAAGGGCTGCAAAGCTGGTGCGTCCACCATCACCATTACCGGCAACAACTGGTGCCCTGATGGAGGGTGGTGCAGCCCTCCCCAGGAGCATTTTGATCTCACTCAACCAGCCTTTCTTCAAATTGCTGAGTACAAGGCTGGCGTTGTCCCAATTAAATATCGCAGGTTTGTAACTCATGAAGTACTCTATTTGTTTGGATTATTTGTCACACTATCCTAAATCCTAAGAATCTTACTCCTCATAATGCTGCATATTCTCTTAAGTCGCTATTCATGAAGCAATGAGCTAAGGAGTTATTTACAGAACTTCAGAGAAATCAATCTTCTTGAGAACTTTCAAACACTGGCTTTATTTTCATAAAATATAAATTATTTTCTACTGTATTTAGCTTGTAAAGCTGCAAAGTTGATACATTACTTACCACAATTTTCTTTCTTTCTTTTTTTTTTCCTTCCATATTGCAAAACTAATAAAAACAGAGAATCAGAGTAACTGAATCGAATGTTTATGCATGACATGCAGGGTTCCATGCATAAGAACAGGAGGAATCCGTTTCAGCATATCTCCGCATTCGAACCCCTACTACCTGCTCGTGTTGATATGGAATGTCGCAGGTGCAGGAGATGTAGAAAGCGTAATGATAAAGGGAGATAAGGGTAAGCCATTTAAACCAATGAAGCGCAACTGGGGCCAAAACTGGGAGAGCGATGACAATTATGTAGGGCAATCAATTACCTTCAGAGTCAGAACCAGCGATGGCAAGAAGTCTACTTCATGGCATGTTGTCCCAAACACTTGGCAGTTTGGTCAGACATACGAAGGCAAGAACTTCAGATAAATTTTGCCGAAGCTTACGCTCTTCACCAGCTAACACCAAATTCCTTCTGAAGTTTGACGCTGATATATAATCATCACTAGTTTATCTGCTCTAAAGTAGTACTTTTGCATGCAAAATTTAAATAAATAAAGAAAAAGGGAAAAAAATATATGCTCTATTTAGCACCAAAACTCTTCAATATCTCAATATATACACGATGACGTGAATTCATGTAGTGAGAAACTGCGAAAGCAAAAAGCAAAAACTGAATATAAATAAAACTCAGGCTAGAAGAAGAATATGTGCGCATATACTTATGCAGTACTTCAATTCTGTGTCACTCGCATTACTCCATTTTGAGGGTGATTTCCTCTAAACACATGCAGGTGAATAGATTTGTCCTCTGTGTATTAAAAGCACAAATCCCACAAGTCCGATTGTCATGCAAGCCTTAAACCTCCCAGTACAATATGTATGGTATCAAACTCAATGTTGACCTAAAACCCTCCAAACCATCAGTGCCAAGTTCAATTTTCCGTCTTCTTTAACATCACATCAGAAAATCGTGCAAAGAGATGTCTTCAGTTCATAACATTCCCCATATAGCATAGGATAGCCCTAAGAATTCTTGAATGTTCAGAGGGGCATACGGTTAATTTACCTTGCACAAATGCATTCGCCACTTTTCTACCGGACTTTATTGCCCTTATCGCACAACAGTCCAAGCATGCCCATCACTTCCCTGTTTCTGCTTCTTTTTTCTCTTCCGTTCCTCTCTCGTGTCTGTTTTTCCAGTATTTCGTTTTGCAAGTCGTGAACGGATTTCCAGCAACTTTGATTTAGCGTCTCGGAAAGGTGCATCAGACTTCATAGCCATTAGTTGCTGAATTAGCAGATGAAGAATTAGTTTCCTTGCTTGACATGCTTATTGCACAAGTGTCAGTATAATGGTGACCTCGATAGATAAGATTGCGAATATACATACCTTGAGATGGTCCATTGCAGCAAGGTTAAAGCCAAGAGTATCTTTGCAATCCTGATACATAAATTAGATATTGATAAGCATCATTTACTTAGAAGAAACAAATAACAAGATTATCTTAAACTCTCAATGTCCAAATACCATAGAAAGGGCAAGCTGATAGCTCCGCATATACAAAGGTGCCAAATGGATTATTTGGGTGACGAGTCTTTCAGTTCGGGCTGAGACAGGTCACGCTGGGTCAGGTCATATTCAGGTCTATAGTAAATTAGTTAATCATAAAAAGTAACCAATCTTAATCCTTTTTTTTTCGGGTCAAGTTGGTCAATTTCAGGTTAAGTTCAGGTCTGGTTCAGGTTGGTTTGCTATGTCAGGGATGCATAGGAAACGATGGTGGTATGCAAGCCTGAGGGAAAGGGGGAAGCCTCGTCTCCTGAAACAGGCATCATAAAAGTTCCTAAAACACTCAAAAGTCATTATACTGCTCAACTTGGCTACAAGCAGCACATATACAAGGTTGGAACTCAATGGCTATGCAAATTTTTGATAGCTTTACCACCCAAGTTAGGTGGCCACAAATCAGAAACATCATTATTGATAAAACCAGGACTGAGTTTATTCATCAACAATCAGTAGTTAAACTATAATGTGTACATACTTGAGTACAAATACGTGAACAGGATGAAAATAAGAAGAGCAAGCTAAGAGCCCACTAAAATAACACATTAAAAAAAATTAAAAAAAAAAAAAAAAAAAAAAAAAAAAAAAAAAAAAACTTGCAGGAATCAACAGTATTAGATCATAGGATACCTTCACTCTTGAATGCAGGACATCTTTAAGAACAGTCAACACTGGTCTTGCAGAAGGTGTGCTTATTAACTGATGATAATGCGTCTGCAGCAATACTACTGCTACCCTGCAAATGAGCTCAACCTGCATTTGCAATTTGTGGCGTCAATGTTTGATCCTCAATATTGACTTCCAATGTGAACCTCCTCACAGAAAGAGGTTAACAACAAACAGAAAAATACTTCCAAAGTTCCAAGATGCATGATTTTACATTCCAACTTCCAAGTATCATCAAGTACATTAAGAGTATATGTGCTTGTGTGTGTGTGACTATGTGTGTGTGGCTGTGTGTGAAGAGAAAAAGAAGAAATATTTGTTTACTGGGCACTTAACATGATCACAAGACTTAATATCTTCTTTTATACTTTTGGTGTCCTCTTTTCTTCACAATGATGAATTTGATGGGGTTAAACAATCAATGAACATTAAGGAAATATAATCAATACTCCATATCTAGAAAAAAAAAATAAGGAAATCTGTACAAAATTTTCATAAACTTAGAAACAGAAGATATTGTCAATAACCTTGTTTAGACCTGGCAATTCTGACCCAGACCCGAATGACCCGACCCATGACCCGAAATCGACCCGAAAATAGTGACCCAAAATTGACCCAAAACCCGAATCAACCCGACCCGACGTGGAATTGACCCGAACTTAACCCGAAACCCGAAATGACCCTACTCAAAACAACCCGACCCTAGATGACCCGAGACCCGAAATGACCCGACCCGAAGTGACCCGAGACCCGAAGCTGACCTGATACCCAAAGTCACCCGACCTTTAACTTGAATTAATTGACCCAAATAGACTCAAAACCCAAAGTGACCCGAACCAAAATTATCTTATACCTTAAATGATTAGAATCTATTTAAGCTAAAGACTTTACCTGAGTCATGAGCAAACCGAAATAGAAAAAAACCGCAATCAAACTGACTTAATTTTTTTTATTAAATTGTAATGTGTAACAGTGTAAGCAATTTACATATTTTGAGCATTACTTTTCTTGATTTCTTCGGCCTTTTATCTATAAGTTTTTAAAAAATTGTAAAAAGATTGAAATTTAACGACTATTCTACGGAGTTTGTCCATAAGATTAAAAAATTAACAAAAGCTCGAAATAAAAGTCACAATTCTCACAAGTATAGAAAAAAAATAGTACAATAATAATGCGTACATAACATAATGTTCAATAGCAAATGAAATTACAAAATAATCTAAAGTCAAACAATTACTGCATTCCATGAAAAAAGTAGCCTTAATAAATAGAGTAAGTTTCTTGTCAAGAAATATATAAATATATACTATGTATATAGAGTTGAATTTAACCCAATGCAATGACCTGAATATCCCGAAAATTGGACCCGAAGATTGACCCGACGCGAACTGACTCGACCCGAAAATTGACCCAACCCAAACTGATCTGACCCAAACTTGACCCGACCCGAACTCGACCCAAAATGTTGACCCGAAACCCAACCTGACCCGATTATCATTTGACCCGAAATCAACCCGAAACCCGAAATGACCCGACCCGATTATCAGTTGACCCGAAATGACCCGACCCGAACTTGACCCGATAATTTTTTGACCCAAACTTGACCCGAAATGACCCTACTCGAATGACCCATTTGCTAGGTCTAACCTTGTTTGACATATACATGTACAACGTGCAAAAACAAAAATACAACTAGGCAGTAAAATACACATTAGCAGAAAAACAATGGGCAACCACAGATTAACATTTAATATTAGCAAAAAAAAAATGTTCTTCACCTTTTTCTGGCTGTTTAAGTCTACAAAATGGGCAAAAATGACCCAATAAACTAAAATGTGCATAAATGACCCAAGAAACAAAGAACATTCAATAAAATGAGATATAAACAATCAAATAGAAATGTATCAGTATGAATGAGATCTGACCTTTTCAGAATTTGAGGTCCAATTTTTCAAATATGAAAGCAGTTTTAGAGCATCAGAAAATGGTATTGCCTGCAATCAATGCAAAAAGAAGGTTAAGAAAACCATATACCGCAAACTTTGGTGTAGGGGAAAATATTCAACATCAGAATATTAACTGAAGATCTGAAAGTTAATCAGAAGTGTCCGTACAAGTAAAGTCTGCTCCAGATCATTGGGCCGGACATTTGAAATTGAGCGAAGAACATAATCAGAGGGTGAAAGTCCAAGCATAAGTATGTTCGGCTGAAACCTGGCCATTGCCCCCCTTGTTTTCTCCTCCTGTACATCACAATTTAATAAATCAAATGACTTAATTTCAATTTTTCCTGAAATTCTGTATAAATTCACTCACTAATACACATGGGAAAGAAAAATACAAAGAAGACTATTAACTTAGGAAGAAAAAGACATTTGACATAGTAAATTTTGGCATAGCCAGTGAACCAACCATGCAAATGTTTTGCAAGGCAAGATTCTATGCACTTTGAATGATCATTATGCAAATTAATCAACATATCATTGACAGTACAATTACCTCATATTCAGCAATACGCTTCGTTTCAGCTTCTGCCAAATCCAGTGCTTCAATAATCAAGTCAGTTGCAGTTAAGGTTTCCTGAGTTTTCTTTCCTGCTGATGCCACAGCACCCTCCTCAGGAAGCTCGTCCTTCGGGGCATGTCTATTTTCAAATGCACCGTCAAGATCAGCCTCAAACATCTCCTCCAACCTTTTTTCTTTCTCTTCCTACAAAAGATGTTGATGATAGTTAAATTAATAAAAAGAAACTAAAAGCTTTCCAGAAGCCTCATCATCAGACAAAGTGGCCAATATGGAGGAGTACCTCAATGAAAAATGGTTCATCAGTGCGATCCCAACGCCTTATGGACCTATCATGAGATCCCGTGACAATAAAATCACCACGACTACTGAGAGCTAGACACCATATCTCAGCATGATGTCCTTCAACAGTTAAAAGCAATTCAAACTTATCAGCATCCCAGTACTTCAAAAGCCGGTCCTTCCCAACACTAAATACATAGTGAGTATTAGGAACAAACTTCACATCCATGACACTGCCACAGGAAAAAGATATTCACTAGTCAAGTAAAGCAACAGGGAATTATAAAATGCCTTTTGTGTTTTGTCAAAATAGGCTAAGATAAGTACCTATCAGCATGGGCAAAGATCGATTTACGGCAGTCACCAAAGTCCAAACCCCAAATCTTTAGATTTTTGTCTGCAGACCCCGTAACTATCAGATCCCCATCAGATGATATATCCATACATAATACAGGCAATTTGTGACCATATAG